TCATAATAATATTATGACAAGTAATAATGAAACTACACCCATACAAAACATAGTCTATCTCCACCTATATCATTTGATATTTGAGCTCACTTGCTTTTCTGACAATCCCCATGATTCACTTGCAAATGGTGGTTCCATGTCCATTGACAAAGCAGCTTCTGAGGAGGAGGCAACATCCCAATGATTGCTTACTTCAGTCCTAACATTTGTAATCTCATCATGATTTTTTTGACCATTTGAATTGTTTTGCAAAAAACGAATTTGCTCCAACTCCATAGCAATTTCTATCATCTTTGGCCGCCTTTCACCACTCAAGCTTAAGCATCTATATGCAAGTTTAGCAACCTTTATAATTTCTTCATGTGCAGAACTATCCTTAACCCGAGCATCAAGAATGTTAAAGAGGTTATTCTCTTCCATGGAAAGTTTGAAATGAGGGGCCAAATTTCTTCCACCTTCTACTCTTTCAAAAGAAACTGGTTTTTCTCCAGTTAAAAGCTCAACAAGGACAACTCCAAAGCTATAAACATCACTATTTTCTGTAAAGTGACCTGATTGGTAATATTCAGGATCTACATACCCAAATGTGCCTTGAACATTTGTGGTCAAATGAGTTTGATCAATGGCAATTGATCTCGATATCCCAAAGTCTGAAACTTTTGCCCTATACTTTTCATCTAGTAAAATATTTGAGGACTTGACATCTCGGTGATAAATGGGAATGGAGGCTGTCGAGTGCAAGTAGGAAAGGGCAGATGCAACTTCTGATGCAATTGCTAATCGTCTTGCCCAAGATAATCGGAAGTCCTCATTTTCATCATGTATGTACTGGAAAAGTGTCCCATTGGGGATAAATTCATAAACTAGCAAAGGAACTTCAGTTTCCAAACAGCACCCTAACAACTTAACAATGTTTCTGTGATTAATCTGTGTAAGAATGACCACCTCATTGATGAAATCTTTAACTTTCTCTTCATCCAGTACTTTGGACTTCTTAATTGCGACAATTCTTCCATCAACCAACATTCCTTTATAAACAGTGCCCTGACCTCCTTGACCAAGTATTCTATTCCTATTGAAGTTATTCGTTGCCTTTTTCAACTCTTTGATACTAAATGTTTTGGCATTTTCAACATTACCCTCAGTTGAAGACAATTGTTGCTGCCATAATAAGCTTTGTTTGAAGAACTTGCTCCGGAGCTTCATTTTCCTTCTCTTCTTTAACATTTTGGACAACCCCCGTGCACTAATAACTACTAAACAAACTACTGTAAACCCCAAACTGATACCTACAAACATTAAGGAAGGAGAAAGGATGACTTTATCAAGAGATCCCCAAGAATATCAAAACCTCAAAACCTCAAAACTCAATAGTCCAAATTAATTGGAAGTTTAATTTCAAGTTTTAAAATGGGTGGGAATAGATTAAAAAAAGAGGATTATTAATTTATTGTACAAGTCATAACTTATCATAAGATATATAAAAAAAGAAAAAAAATCAGAACTTTATAAAGTCCTATTTCGCATTGGTGTCAATGTTTGGTTAACATAGTTGCCTTTGCAAAGAAAAATCAAAATGAAATGAAATAAAAATAAATAGAAATCGATAGAATAAGGGGCTTACCCAAAATGATCATAAGCCAGGTTGTTTTGTTTATTTTCTTTTTGCAAGTGTAGGACCCGATGGTATTCCGGCAAGTTCCATGGCAGGGATACTTGTCTGGTTCTTTGCACTCATCAATGTCTAGTGGAGTATTAAATTAATCAGAACATTCCATCATCCCCAAATTGAAAAAA